TTTAAGACTTAGAAAGCAAATGCAAAAGGAAGCTTTGGGTAACTAACTTTACTACCTATTGCTAAAATGATTGCTCTGTGTGTGTGCCTGTACATTGTTCAGGTGAGGAGTCTGCCATCTGTCAGACAGGTTCAGGAGGGAATTCTCCTGCTGGCAAATTAATTTTTCCTGTGCTGTTTTATTTTAGCTTGCAGGTGCACCAGTTTCCCCCCAGGTATCTTCTCTAACCCCACTCAGTAGTTTTCCACTTGAGTAACCAACTAAATTCTAACGTAACGATGTCACAGTTTACATACTTACAGTAAAGAAAAGTCATACACTTCTCTTAATAAATGATAACTATTTTGAATGCTGCATAACTGTATATAAAACACATATGATGATTTTATAAACTGCTAGCTTACACTTGGAATACAATTTAGAAGAGCCCTGCCGCTTAGGTTACGGAAGTAGTCCTATAGCATGACTTCTCCAGCAAGAGAAAAAGCAGGTTGTGCTCAATGTCAATGGTTCCTACCATTATACAATCTGTGGGAGTTGCTTGTGTTTCACTTGAAAGTTATCCCTTTCCTGTTTACTTGGAGGAGCACTGAAAGCTTTTTTAGAAATTCTTCCATTTTTCTTGGCATGGGGCTATTAATTCTTGTATAGATTTTTATCATGGCCTCTTTTTCTAAAGATAGATATTTTGGCTGCTAAAGAGTAGTTCAATAAAAAAATATCAAAGTGGTTTGTCTAAAGAAGGATCTCCAAACATGATGTTCTTGGTTTAAGTGTCCTTTTTACCCTTCCATAAAAGCTACATCCCTAGCTCCGTTCTGAAATCATTGAGATTCATGTCTTTTGCAAAGTAAGCCATTTTCAATGTAAATATTTGGATTTAGGCTTTTATTTATAATACTTAGATGTTCGGAAGATCACCCTTTTCAATCTGAAAATAAAGCCTTCTCAAGAAAGCATTTCAATCTCTCTTCTCTGACTCATACACGGAAAGATAAGTCTGCTTAATTGTAGGCATGGAACAGAGGCTGAGTTAAAAACCCCTTTTTCCTTTCTTTTACTGGCCTGTAAAATCAAACCAGAATGCAGGCCTTAATCTGGGTTTGAGTTATGACATGCAAAGTTGATCTGGAAAGTACTGAAGTCAAAGTAATGCTGGCAGTAAAAATCACTGTGCTTTATAATAATCTTAGGACATTTATATGAAAATTGGTTAACTGTGGGTATAAAGCATAAAAAAAGTACCTCTTTTTCCCATTTAGAAATGTGCAGTTTTTATAGTTGAAGGAAAAATATTTGTAAACAGGTTTTAATTCTCTGCAGAAGTCATTTTGAATCATCATTTCAAATGGATTAAGTATTTCCAGAACTTTTTTGTTAAAATTTGTACACACTACAGAAAAGTGTTGTAGACTGGAGACAAAGTGGTGGCCACAAGGACAGAGGGACAGTGAGCTCTGCAAGCCCCTGGTACCCCTAATATAAATATTATATAGGATATATATATTATATAGGATATAAATATTCCTATTGCTTGTCCCTGCTGTACTAGTGTTTCCTTGTTGTTTCTGCTCATAGTTTCCATTAAAACAAGTTGGTTGTCTCAGTGGATGTTGGAATATTAAAAGAGAATCTCTTAATTGTGTCCATTTTACTTCCATCTATCTATCTAAGGTTGTTTATTCATAGAAGATAGAATGATGTTTGTAATGCTAGTAACAGAGCTCTTGCTAGCCTTCGTCCCCTGTGCTTTTTTAAAACAACTGTATTGTGTATAACCTTATGAGCTTCAGCAAGGTCAAGTGCAAGGTCCTGCACCTGGGTCGGGGCAACCCCAGGTACCAGCACAGGCTGGGGGATGAAGGGATTGAGAACAACCCTGTGGAGAAGGACTCGGAGGTACTGGAGGATGAAAAGCTGGACATGAGCTGGCAATGTGCGATTGCAGCCCAGAAAGCCAACCGTATCCTGAGCTGCATCCAAAGCAGCGTGGTCAGCAGGTCCAGGGAGGGGATTCTGCCCACCTGCTCTGCTCTGGTGAGACCCCCCGGCAGTACTGCAAAATTTTTCACAATGAGGGTGGTGAAACACTGGCACCTAGAGAGGTGGTAGATGCCCCATCCCTGGAGGCATTCAAGGTCAGGCTGGATGGGGCTCTGAGCAGCCTGATCGAGTTGAAGGTGTCCCTGCTTGTTGCAGGGGCATTGGACTGAATGACACTTAAAGGTCCCTTCCAACCCAAAGCATTCTATGATTTACTGCAAAACCTTCCCAACATCTCTCAAGTGTTTACTGATGGATGAGCTCGACTGAGATGTCCCAACTCATAATTCACAAGTCACAACATAATTCAGAGAGGAAGCTTCTGTTTTCAACATACAGCCCTCTTGCAGTGATGTGACATCAAATTATTTCAGGTGTTGGTGATCACTACAATAAAGATCGGTGACATTGGCTTTAAACTTTGTTTAAAAGAGACTGAATGCAGTGACTTGACATCATGCAATAGCAACCTCTGATGCATAACTGCTGCTCAACAGGATGGCTCTGTGGAGGCAAAATGGGATGAGTATTTACACGTTGCTATTTCTTCCGTGTCCTTCAGAAAAATCATTCACCCTAAATGAATCATAACCTGCCTACCACTTAGTTTTGCTTCCCTTGAATTTAATGTTTCCTCTTTCCCATCATTAATTTTTTTTAAGCAGACCTGCAGCCCATCCGCCCCCCCCCATGCCAGCTCAGGCGTTGATAAGCATTAGCATCCTGGAGCAGGTGAGGTGCCAGTTAAACGCACAGTGCCTGAACCTGCTTGTGTGCTTGGGAAGGCTGTTGAACTCGGTGAAGTTAAAGAGAATGTTCAAACCACAGGAAGATGAAGGTTTTCCCTGCACTTTTATTTGGATTACTGGCTTACTGACTTGTGCCTATGGTTAGGATAGCACTCATTAAGAGCAGCTGGGTGATGCAAATAAACTTTGGGGTCCGGAGAAATGGTGCTAACAACTGCAACTACTTGAACAAGAGCTTTAAACCTAATATGCCCTCCCGCTAAGTGTGTTTCAGCTAGAACTGCGTCAGCAAAGACATCACCAAACGCTTAGAAAAGCGAAGCAAGAGGTAGGGATTTGAACCACGATGTGAGCAAGGTGCCATCTGTACAAACACAGCCCTTTCCTGGAGATCCAAAACCTGCCCCAAAGGGAGGCAATAGTTACGTGGTAAGTGCCGATGTGGAGTATTGGTCTCTGGTACAGGCCTTCAGCTGCCTGTAACGAGGAAAGATGGCTAAACCACCGTGCCATCCCTGTCCCCGGTGGGCAGGGTGTTCGTGGGCACGTTTGGTCTGAAAACACAGGTCGGGTGGGTTCAGAAGAGGCAAGTCTCTTCTGACAACTCTATATTCATTAATGCATCTGTGGCTGTTAGCTTTTTTGTTAGCCAAAGTTGAGTCAAATGACATAGACTTTGGCCTCGGACCTGGATTTTGTATCCTGATGATGAAATTGGTTATTTATGGCAAAAAATAGCTCATTTTCCTATAGTATAATCTCTGCATCACCATGGAGCACGCAACAGTCTCGGGGAAAATCTGATTTTTCTCGTGGAAGAAGTCAGCATCGTTAGTCAAGATTTGATGGTACTTTAAAAAGCAGGAGATTAGACTTCCAAATTTGCAGCATAGGCTATTTTGGGCAGGGATTGGTATAATCCTGCTTGGTAACGGATGCGTCAGTGTGCTGAATGGAGAGCACAAGGTACAGGTTGATCTTGCCAGCAAAGGTCGAACGCTACTCACCCTCACGATATATGGTTTTGAATAATAAATGGTTTTCCTTCCTAGGGTAAAGACACCGAGTTTTTCAGGCTTGGCATCAGTTGGACTGCGAGAAAATGATTGTTTTGTTTGGAATGCTTTGCTGAGGAACCTGGCCAAGTGGTTACCTGACCTGGGCTGATAAACCCAGGCGGGAGGCAGATCTCAAAGGCCCCCAGTGTAGGAGCTCTGCTGGGCCAGCCTGCCATCTGCAGGCCATTGCTCTCCATGCTGGGGAGCTGTGAAGCAGAGCTTGGGGGGGGTTCTTTCCTTCTCCAGAAATTATGTGGGGGTTTTTTTGTCCTTAGGTAAATATTACATCATAAATCCCATTTGTTTCCATCTGATCTTACGAATAGTCATCTCCGTTCTGAAAAAGAAAGCAAGGATGGTAGAGATAAGCAAGCATCCTTAGATTTCTCTGGAGGCTAATGAATAATTGCTTTTTCTTTTATTGTCTGTTGTTCAATTTTATACATAAAAATTTTTGTGCTTAGAAATGGGACGTTTCATGTGACAGTAAATTCTGTCCATTGTTCTGAGTCCATTAACTCTTTGATAACTCTTTATGGTGGTAGTCTTAGGTGAATGATACCACTATAATGTTCAGCTCCTGTTGAATGTTAAAAGTTTTGTTGAGAAGGGGATACGTGTATATGACAATCAGGTAGCTTTCCAAGCATCCCAAAGATCTTTGTTTTTATAGTCCAGAAATGGATAGAGGATGCAACAAAGCTATTTGACTTCTACACCACAGACCTTGGCTGTTACTTCTTTGCAGAGGCCGTCCACACTGACCTCTGTCAAAAAAAAAAATTCGGTACACTCAACAAAATTCAGCAAAAGTGTGATTTTTTTGGACGGTAGTAACTAATTTGGACTAGTGATTCCACTGTTAGATATATATATATTTTTTTTTTTATTTCAGTAGCTTAAATATACCAATTGTCACCTTCTTATTGCCCGGGCGTTTGAAAGATAAATGATCTGTGCTTTCCTTAGCTGTGTTTTTTTTAACCGTTGGTAAGAAATCTTAACTGAGTTGTTCATCTGGGAGAGAATTTACTGTAAGTAAATTACTGATCAATGTACAGTTTTCAAAGGTATAACAAAATTTCATGTATAAAGTGAAATGTTTAGTGTGTACCCCATAACCTTTCAATCATTTTTGTCTTTGTTTTAGGTCTTCCTGAACAATACTACAGCCTCACTTGGTTCCTTAGCCCTATCCTGGGCTTGATCTTCACTCCGCTTATAGGTTCGGCTAGTGACCGCTGCACACTGAGCTGGGGCCGCCGGCGGCCTTTTATTCTTGCTCTCTGCATTGGTGTCCTCTTTGGAGTTGCACTTTTCCTTAATGGTTCTGTTATAGGTAAATAATGAGGAAATCACCTGCGTATATCTCCTGCTAACATATCTGCTTTAAGATTTTTATGTAGGAAGTAAAGATAATGATATGCAGTTAATTTAACGTAGATTTAGTGTTAAAATCATTAGAAATCTTTGCAACGCTGCATTTGAGCTATCTATCTTGCATGTTTTTAGTCTTACTCGAAAGTTACGGTGCTGTGCGAAGTATTGTGCAATCATAGCTGTAACTGGTAGTACAGTGTTATTAATACAGTGGTTGCCAGCGTAATGTTTTCGGTCGCTGAGACGAATTTGGTCGATCCTTGACATGGGAAAATTGTAGCAACCTGTTCACAGGGAAATGTTTCCTGTTGTGATCCATTTTCCCTTTAATGCATATCTGGCAACACATCCTGTTTCCAGCATTATTTCAAAAATTATCTTTTCACTTTTTCTTGTGCTTTTCTTAGACCTGGTATTGAAAAAGTCCAGAACACAGTTAATATTTGTTTATCAAAAACTATGTGGGAAAATAATTTTTCCTGAGCCCCCATCAAAGCTGGGAAAAATAGTTTCCCTTGAACATAGTTTACTACACAACTTAATCTACAATCTCTTTGTAAATTTAGTGTAGGAGAGGTGTCAGCAAGTACATTTGGGGAAATGTTTACATCATGGTTGGACTGATGCAAATGAAAGGAACTTAGCACCTAATAATAGGCTCTTGGCTCTCTTTTTTTTTTGGGGGGGGGGGTGTAGATGCAGCTCTATTGTGAAGAAGTTTTACTAATTGAGGGAAATGAGTGGAACATTACCTTGGCTCAGCGTGTTAGCTTTTCAAAGCCAGATTGGGATGCCGTATGATGGTTTTCAATTTTCTGCAAACTGCAGTGGACAAAGTGTTCAGATGAATGACGTTTAGCTTATGTGTTTTAATTTACCCAAGCAGTAAATATTAATTAGTTGAATTGCTATCATATGGTATCAATTGTACGTTGATGTTGTGTCTCCAAGACTTATTCCTCTGCCTCCAGATGCATGCAAGATGTTAGATTGCAGCCCTCTTAGAAGATTTTAATTGATAGGAAGCTCTTACTTCCACCCGATGGCTTAGGTCAGTAGCCATTGATGCTGGCAAGCAAACCTTATATACAGTTTATAGGCTTATTTTGAAGTATCTCACCTTCTAATAAATCAGCACAAAATATTGTCATCGATTTTTCTCCGGTTCTTTGTTGCACAGTAATACAGTCTGTTGCATAGCTTTCTAGAAAACCTGTGCTTTCCAGATGCTCCAGTGATACTTTTGTGCAATGAAACTTTTTTTTAAAACACAGAGGTGGTTGTAATGCACTGCAAAAGTGAGCTGTGTGCTTTATGCATCCGTTCCGGGGACATAATAGTGGTAGCTTTTGAACGAAAACCCTCTTCTGAAAAGCACTTTTAACACTGCTGTGCCTCTCACAAGGGAGCCTGGAGCAAACTGAACCCAAGGGAGAGCTGTTCCGTGGTCTTCTCCAGACCTGTTCCATGCTAGAAGAGAGAGATTTGCCACTAACACTCAATTTACATCCGCATACGACAGCGCTTAAGCTGCTATTTAGAGCAGATGCACAATACGATAAAGCAACAGTAGCCTTTCTTTAATTGGAGTTTTTGAAATGGTGACTTGTGTCACTTTTCAGAGAGAAAAGCCATTGCTTACCAGTCTCTTGCAAAAGCGGGTGTCTAGCGGTTTGCAGGAAAAGGCCTCATTTAAAACCAGATTCTCTTCTAGATGGACTCTGTATGCTTTCACTGTCTGTTTTCTTCCCATTTTATGTTCACGTTTTCCTCTCCTCAGTCTCCAGTTACTTGCAATCCTAATTCCAATTTGGGGCTACAGAAGATGCTGCAAAAAACTGAGGTGGTCGTTTTATCGTACCCTTTTTCATAGCCTGGCCTCTGGGGATAGGAGTCATAGGCGAGGGAACAAGGAGCGCGAGAGCATGCTAAAAAAGAGGTTCGCTAATCCTAGTAGTGATACACCCATGTCCTGGGAGAACAGCTGTGTATAGATCTCATTCCACTCTTGTTCTTTCCACTGTATGCACTGTTGAGGTTTCCAACAAATCTAAAGCACTGACACCGTTGTTGCTTTCTGCTGTAAGATTCAGCTGAGCGTGGAGCACGTATAAACTTCTTTAGCATTCAGCGGACGTGGTACAAATGAGGATTGAGTATGCAGGAATCATAGCACTTCAGATTTAGATAATGTTTGGCGGCTTAGCCGGTTCATCTCTTTCCACAGTCATTTTCATCAGTTACACTAATGGTTTTATCAGAGTCTTGCATGTGTAACTTTTAAATCTCTCTGATTCAAGTAATTCGTGCTTTTGTCAATGGTTCATTTCATGAAAAATTCTCCAGCTATATACTAATGCTGCCTTTCTACTCAGTAGACAAAAAGCATTTCATCCTGCTCTATCAACAGAAGCTGACTGATGCTTTTTTGCAATGCAAAATACCTTCATGTTGCTTTATCCTTCAAAGTTTTGCTTATAAAAGTGATCTAGAAAATATGAATGTTTAAGAAAAGCCAAGAGAGAGGTGAAGGGGTTAAATTTCCCTTTATCCTGGTGTACAGCGACCATTGCATGTTAGGCACCAGGTCAGGAATGCTGTCAGCAGTGCGGTTACCCGTGTTTGTAACTGACAGATGAAGTATGTCGTTTTGCTTTTGGATGCTCTCCTCTCTTACCATGGCTGTCTTTGATAAAAACAGCCTCCAGCATTTGAAGGAAAATGCATGCGAGAAACATGAAATAATAACCAATACTCTCAAAGGATTAAGAGATACTTTAAAAATAACATTTTGAAAAATACGTGTCAGTCTTACAAATGTAAAAACATAACCTTTGTCCCAGACCACCTATGAAGCTGTGCCACAGTTGAAAATGACATTTTATTCTGTAAAGGAATGTTTCCAGTAAGTGTGTTGACCACCTTTCTCTTAAGGAGCTTAACCTTGCTCTTAGTAGTTTTCCCTTTTTGACTGACATGCTCAGATTCTTCTTCCATTTTTCCTCAGGTCTGGCCATTGGCGATGTCCCGGACAAGCAGCCCATTGGTATAGTTCTCACGGTGCTCGGTGTTGTGGTGTTGGACTTCTGTGCTGATGCAACAGAAGGGCCAATTCGGGCCTACTTGTTGGATGTGGTGGACAGTGAAGAGCAAGACATGGCCCTTAACATCCATGCGTTTTCAGCTGGTATGGAGTTAGTCGATATGTTTTTGGCAGCTGTCAAGTCTTCCTGATGACCAAGTTGTGACTGAATTGATTTTTCCTGAACTCACTTCTCATTTTTTCTCTTCCACAGGTCTTGGAGGAGCAATCGGTTATATGTTAGGAGGGCTGGACTGGACACAAACCTTCTTGGGTAGTATTTTTAAATCTCAAGAGCAAGTTCTTTTCTTCTTTGCAGCCATTATTTTCTCTGTCTCCGTTGCTCTCCACCTTTTTAGCATTGAAGAAGAGCAATATAACCCTCAGCAGGACAGGATTGATGACGAAGGAGACACGCTTTCCAGCGTCAAATTCAGTGGTAGCCTCCCCCCTCTGAATCGACTGAATGTAATTAGTGAGGAAGAGCCGTATGGAGCCTCTATGTTCCACGACGAGGTTCAGTCAGAGCACGATCTCAATATGGAGTTCCTTGAGGTGAACATTGTAAGAAGTAAGAGCGACTCAGTTCTGCACATGCCCGATGCTACATTGGAAATTGAATCGGAGCTCCTTTTTCTGCATGACATCGAACCCTCCATTTTTCAGGATGCTTCATACCCAAACACTCCCCACAACACAAGCCAAGAGATCATGAAGTCCAGACTCAACCACCTGTCTCCTTTCCTCAGGGACAATGAGAAGGAGGAGGAAATGTTGCTTGATAATCACTTAAATGAAGATAAAGTCCAAAACATGAACGGCTCCCTACCAAAAGAGTTCCTCAATGGACACGCTAGAATAGGCATGAAACAATCTAGTACTTCAAACTCCATGCGAAGGCGGAGGCACATGTTCTACCGTCAGCCGTCTTACACCTTCTCGTACTATGGCAAAATAGGCTCTCACCGCTATCGCTTTCGTCGGGCCAACGCCATCATCTTGATAAAGTCCTCACGCAGCATGAATGATATCTACGACATGCAGAAGCGGCAGCGACAGAGGTACAGACACAGGAATCAGAGTGGCACAACAAATTCAAGTGGCGACACAGAGAGCGAAGAGGGGGAAACTGAAACCACTGTCAGACTCTTGTGGCTGTCAATGCTAAAGATGCCAAAGGAGCTGCTGAGACTGTGCGTCTGTCACCTCTTAACTTGGTTTTCCATCATTGCTGAAGCTGTGTTCTATACAGATTTCATGGGACAGGTCATCTTTCAGGGTGATCCCAAGGTAAGAGAACGATTACCGTTGGCAGACCTGCTTATAGTTACCCGTTTCTGAGATGTGCTCGTTACAAGAAAACAGCTTTGTGTTTGTGTTCGTTGCAGGCCCCTTCTAACTCAACCGAGTTACATGCCTATAATGCTGGAGTTCAGATGGGATGCTGGGGACTGGTAATTTATGCTGCTACTGCTGCCGTTTGTTCAGGTAAGAGATTCTGCACAGTCAGACAGTGGAATGCCCCTCATACACGTATTTTCAAGGTAAAAATAGTTTTGCTTCAGTTAGCATCCACCTCCTTGTTTGGGGTGAAGGGTATTTTGGAAAAGCAGTTCGCGTGGTCATAAGTGGAGGGGCTTCTTTAAGAATCAAAATTAAAAAATTCCTCCAAACGTAGAGGTGGAAATATGAACAGATTGGTTAAGTGGCATAAAGCACAAAATGATATCAAAGGATATTGAATGGCATTTAGCTAGTCATCTGGAAACTAAAAATATGCTTGTTAGAAGATTCAGGCATATGTAAGAGGGTTTTTGCAAAGACTGTTTTTAAAATTAAAATTATATATTTCTGAAAGCCTTTCGTGCTCTCTAGTAACAGATAAACCAACTACAGACAATTTAGGCTTGGAATACAGACTCTGAAAGCAATAGCTTTTGCCAAACTTAAATTCTGCCGTTTGCAGCACGTGTGCAGGCGCGTCTGCACAGCTCAGTGTCATGGGGACTGCCTCTTTGTTGAGACACGTCAAATTGCAGTTCAGGTGGGCAGCTTGTTTCTGATCGCAAACTGAAATGTGGCAATAAACATCAATTATCTGATCACCTTGTTTAGCGAATGTGCTTGCACTAGAAACAGAATCTGCTCTGTGCTCAGAGCGTACCTGCGTTGATAAAGTTAATAAATAGGTAAAATTAACAAATGGACTGGGTGGACCATGACATGTTTGAGTTCCAAAGCATTTTGTTCTCCCTCAGAATTGTCACGTGGTTCAGGCAAGTCTTTGAGCTCATTTATTCCCCCGTTTCTGAAGTAGGAATACATCCTATTCCCACTGAGGGCTGAGCTATGGTGCTAAGACAAGCCAGATATACACTGAGCATCCAAGTCCTAAACAGCATATCAGGGTATCATGGCCACATCAATACCATAAAACTTCACCAAGTAAACTGATATTTATGTTTTCTTCTTCATCTCTGCAGCCTTGTTGCAGAAATACTTGGACAACTATGACCTTAGTATAAAAGTGATCTACATCTTGGGCACGCTGGGTTTTTCTCTTGGCACTGCAGTGATGGCTATGTTCCCCAACGTGTACGTCACCATGATAATGATCAGCACTATGGGAATAGTCTCTATGAGTATCTCCTACTGCCCCTATGCGCTTTTGGGACAATACCATGATATTAAACAGGTACGTGGAATATTTTGAGTATTTTAACCAAGGCAGAGCATTCACGTTTCTCTGAAGATCACAGTGGCAACATGGATTTATTAAATCCCATTATTTGAGGTACCTGCTTTGTCGGGGTCTGTGCTAAAGCACAAATTCATCCTTGATAGCAAATACCAAGAGCTGCTACTTAAATCAGACAGTATTAGCATCAAGTTGGCTCAATGAGGTCATGATTATTTTACGCTGTACTGAGATATAAAAGGATTTGGGTGCATACGGTAGATGAAGAGCGATTAAATAATTATTGGAATATTTATTATATACCTAGTTGTTACTGCTGTTTCTGATGCGTTACGTTAGCATTACTCGGGCTTTTCACAGTCTTAGATATTGAGGTGAGTCTGGAAATGCAGCTGTAGTTTAGGGCAATGTAAGGCAAACGGATTCTGCTGGAAACGAGGACAGATTTACTTTCCACTTTTTAGCACCATTTGGATTACAAATTACAGGGGGATCATTTATTTTAGCATGTTTCTGCATTGGGATTGGAAGGAAGAGTCCTTTTTATAATCATAAAAATAATTTCCACCAACTGTTTAATGAAGATTTTTTTTTTACAAAACCAAATCTTGGAGCCATTTCACGCTAGGAGTGCCCCAGTAAATATCTGCCTCTTGGTGCAAGATGAGGAGGCCGCTGATAAGTAGATGAGGAGGCTGTCGCTCTGGACTTGTATAACCTGTGTGATGCACAAGGATGGCGTAAAGTTGACCATCTGGCTGGGAAATTTGAGAAAGATGCTAACGTTTAAATATTTAATTTCATCCATTGTTTTACCAAGTTTCTTGTCTTTTTCCAGTACATTCACCACAGCCCCGGGAACTCAAAGCGAGGATTTGGCATAGACTGCGCTATTCTGTCGTGTCAGGTTTACATCTCCCAGATCCTTGTGGCCTCTGCGCTTGGTGGTGTGGTGGATGTGGTTGGCACAGTCCGAGTCATTCCCATGGTGGCTTCAGTGGGATCCTTCCTGGGCTTTTTGACAGCTACCTTCTTGGTGATTTACCCCGAAGTTAACGAAGAACCAAAGGAAGAACAGAAAGGACTAGGTCCTCCAGAGAGAGCCGAGGGCAACGGCACGAGCGCAGAGAAGCCGACTGTGCTGAAGCTGACGCGCAAAGGAGCTGCTGCGTCGGAGCTGGAGAGCGAGTCAGCCGTGTGAGGCCGCCGCTTGTCGTTCACCCACATTCCAGGGAGTGCAGGTGCAGGATCAAGAACTTTTTTTTTTTTTCTTCCAGGAAAACAAATTAGGATCTTCACTACTTGTAGCTAAAATTGCAGAAGAAAAGGCAGTTTCATGCAAAAATGTAAATTAAATTCTGTAGTCCTTAATATAGGTTTGAACAGGTAGCTATCATGCTAATTGCTTTCTCTACAACTTAGAAACGTCATTTCTGAACACTTTTTTATTAAGAATACATTTAGATTTCAAATAAGTTTTATTAATCTGCATGAGACTCACAGTGTATACAATTAGCAGTTAGAAAAATTAAGTTTTCGGCTGTTTTTAAACTAACTGAAAATGGAAGCTCTCTTGACGTATAGTCTCTTGCTATTTTTTTGTCTGAACATTTCAGATTTCACTAGCGTAATAGCTGAATCAAACACTTAGACATCTTGATCAATTTTTTTCATAAGCATGATATTATTGATCTGACAGCTACAGTTCCTTAACGTTCATTTTAGACTTCATGTTTTTGTTAGTGCAATTGTGATTATTTTCAAGAAAAACAAAAGCAATTACTGCGGTTTCCAAGAAACTGCCGTGAATCCTGTTAGTCATACTGTTCAACAACCACTCCCAAGTCTGCTGCTTGTCAAGAGAGGGTGACGTTGGGTGCATGATGTGGACTGTAGATGGAAGGAGCAGCAACTGGGAGAGGTAACCAGCACTCGCAGGTTTTTATCACAAGTGCTGCATTTTATGAATGTCGTTGGAATACGCTGTGGCAGTTTTTAGCTGGGAGTTTTGCGTGCCGGTGAACTTGAGGGTTTTTATTGGCGTTTAAACCTGATCATCTCTGGAGGAAGCTGCCACGGAGAAAGGGCGTCTCTGGGGGTCAGCTTCGGGGGAGGGGGCATGTGGATTCTCTTTCATAGGGAAAAGAAGTCGTTGATTAATTGCACTTTTTATGATCCTTTAACCTCCTGGCTGGGAACGCAGCAGCCAAGGTAAAGGCACGGTGTCAGTACAACAAGGTAAACCGAAGGCCTACCTCCGTCACTTTATGGCATGGTCTGGGTGTATAAAAATCTCTGTCAGAAACAGTTTTGAGGCCTTAAAATTCAATCCACTAGCATGTGTTGCTGTTCCAGTCCCTGTGTTGGAGAAATCGTAGGCTGGAGCTCTTCTGAGCTGCTGTACCAATGTCGTCAGCGCAACCTCCATGCCCCCTTCCTTGATTCAGGACATAGCTGCAGTGCAAAGACATTTTTCTGTGAAGAGCTTGAAAGAGTTGTGCTAATCTGATTTAAAATAGCGTTTGGATCACTAGCGGTGTGCCCCAAGCCATGGGCAGCCGAAGCTCAGAGATCCAGCAGCCGTTTAAAGCAACTTTAGAAACTGAACTTCTGTTTGTCGTCTTATAAGAAGCGTTTGTGATGCTATTTACTCATTTTCGCATGGACTTCCAGGCTGCAGTCAATCCGTGTGCTAAACAGACAAATCACAGCTCGTTGTAAGATTTCTGCTGCCTCAAACTTCTCATGCTACAGTACTTTAAAATGCATGTGTAAATCATGCTGCAATATAGTCATTCAAGAGAAGAATATCTATTTCAAAATGAAAAGCAGTTTTTAATAAATTACTTGAATTGTCAATGTATTTAACAAATGTATGTTTTGGTATATTTGAAGTTACCGTGCAGTCTTGGCCAGCATCATTGGTGAGTTCCTGGTGGTATACGTGGGTTTCTTAGCTGAAGGCTTTCGGTCGGTGCCAATGTCCTATGCTATCACGGGTGACAGTGTTGGTTTTAGGCTGGTGAAATCGCCAAGCACTAAAGTACACGTAATCACGCAGGACTTAGGGTTGTTTTTTTTTTTTCCAAGGGTCTTGAGAAAGTTTGTTTCTTTAAGGTGAATATTTTTTTATTTCGAACACGTACTGTGAACTGTGTTCAGACAGGGGAATAATACTACTGAAGCATTTGAGACCTTATTGAAGAAATCAGTTGTAAGAAAGACTTTAACTGAACTTCTGCCGTGAATTTTATCATCTCAGTTACATTTAATATATTCTAGTGATGTTCATATATAACAGAGATGAGTGTTGTATTTCACCTTATAACTGGCATTCGTGTAAAATACACACTGAGTTAAGACATTTTAAAGTGGCTTTAATATTTTGGTTTTGAAGCTCCTTGAAGATTCTCGTTTTGGTTAAATGAACGCTGTCAAGTAGTCCTTATTTTAATCTCTATTTCTGGAAAGGTTCTTCTACAGTTTAAAAATCTGCATTTTCTGCCTGGTGCCAGCCTTACCCTTTTCCCCGTGAGTTTCGTGGATCAGTGTGGATTCAAATCGCCGTTGTTCCACGTTGCACCTTCAGATTTCTTTCACAGCACCATCGAGCTGACCCAAGGTCGAGCTGCAGAGAGGGAGGAGAAGTTTAAGCTCTCTCGCGCTTCACACCCGGCAGAGGGAACATGAAACCATTTTGGGGGGTGAGCTCACACACATTTATTTAGATTTCTCAGTCAGGGGAAGGGTGAGGAGGCAGGAAGGACGTTTCGAACCCAGAGAGTTTCAATCAAAGGCAGGGCAGGTCCGATTTTCTCCCAGCCAGCATTTGGCGTAGCCACGTTTCTAAGAATTGGATGTTAAAATCCGTATTTGGAGTTGTTTATGGGGCTGTTTAATTACCATTTGTAACACATTGAATATGCAGGCCGCCTTGTCGCAGGAAGCTCTATTTCACTCCCTTGTGAAGCCGAAGGAAATAATTATCCATTGTAAACGGGCTGAAGTCTTTGTAATATTGCCAGAAGAATAAACTTGGGGGAGCTCCAGCCAAAATATCTCCTCCTGTACCTTGGCCAGCCTGTGAAACCACCACGCTGGCTTCCACTGTGCTCACCAGTGAGGGCTCCCAAGATCTTTCATAGTAATACTTTTTCTTGAATTTGAGAGAGTTTTCTTTCTAGCCCTGGCACTTCTCAGGGTAGAGTGGGCACCGATTTATTTCTTTAGGTGTCCCTCACCTTATCTTTTGGTACAGAAATTGCTGGGGTTTTTTTGTCACAATTGAAAGGTGAAGTAGTAAGATTTTATGTGTTTATTGCAAAAGTTGTGGGAAGAGAGAGTTGAAGGGGTTTTCTTTTATTCCTAGTGACAATAAGCGTAATTTTTTTGTTGGTCGGTATGACGGTATAGTCACATTCATCCCACGTGCTCCATCTCCTTGGACCTTTACTGCAGTAGGCTTAAGGTTTAGTGGTTTCATTCTGTGTTCCTCTGTACTGTAAACAATTTTAACAGACTCTGCTGCAGTCCTTCTGGTGACGCGTGACGCCTCGGACATGAGACACTATTCGTGCTCAGATTCTCGAGTGCTGTGGTCGGTGAGCTGCACGTCTAGAAATATTTCACATGAGAGCAGAGAAGCTCAAACTTTAACCACTCAGCAAGGCGTAGCAGGGATTTTGCACCATTGGGTTATTGCAAGAGTCCAGTTGGATCTGCACTGTTCATGAATGGCAATTTGAGACTCCAGAAGCAATAATTTCTTAGGAATGTTTCTCTTCCTGTTGGTTAGATGACTTTCACAGAGATTTATTACCTAAATAGCCTTTTAATAACATGAATCTGGTCGTTTGCTAGCGCTGGAAATGAGCAGTTATGGAAAGATGCGGGTTGTTCATCATCAGAAGGGAGGAAGCCAGTAAATCCAACGGAGGTTAGTGCTCTTTGAAACACTCAATGTCCTTTTCCCCTTTCACTTGGAGCCTTTTTCTAGACAGAAATATTCCCAGTGCAGCAGGCTGAAAAGCAGGCAGCTGCAAATTTAGCCTCCTGGTTTTCTTGCCAGTGCTGATGCTGGCATGCAGACCCTGTGAAGAAACAGGCTTGTGTGAAGTTTTCCAACGGAGGCGTGGAAGCCAGGGCTGAGCCCTTCTCAGTTCCTCTCCCATCTGATCTGAATCCCCTGCGGCACTTGGAATGACAGCGACAACAACAGTGATTATTGCCAGGTACCTCATTAAAACCTCAGTTCCATCGTTAGAAACACATCCGCCCGCCCTCGGTTTGTGGTGACCTTGGCCTTCCTCCGACGTCCACCATTAAAGGCAGAATTTTCATGGCTACCAGTGGGGTTTTGTGGCCATGTGGGTTGAGGTCACATTTACCAAAAAAGGTAGAGAAAGTCACGGTTTGTTCCTGGGAGAGCTCCCTCCGCATCCGGGCAGGAGGAGAGTTTGGGGTGGGGGCACCCTTCCCGGAGGCGCGTTGCAGGGGTCAGCGTTCATTTTTGGTGGTCGCTCGCGTTTTCAATAATTTTGCGTAGACGCGTAGCCAGGTTATGCGACACTCCGTTGCTGGGTCCCTGCAACAGATTGTAGTTCAGTCACTGAGAGGTGGGGGTTTTTAGGTGAGAGAGTGTGTGTGTGTGTCTGTATATATGTATCTGTGTGTATATACATTTATATACGCACTGCTCGGGCCAAAATATCTTTGGTGGTTGTGTGCTCGTCGTCACTGTACTCAACAATGTTTTCAACTGAGTTCTTCCCTCATCTTAGTCCGATGCGAGACGAGCTCAGCTATAAATATGTATCCTATAAGTAAACTCCTGCATGATATTCCAAGCACATGTAGCAGCTTCGGCATCTGAAGTATCTATTGTGAAAGAGAACTTGGTTTTATTTGCAGCTGTTTTGTCCTCGTTTCCTTTTAATAGGCCAAATAAATGTAACGAACACCAAATGTTGCACAGAAATGTTATTAATGACTGTGTAGAAGAAATACCAAATTTTATTTTTCTTTGCAGAAACTTTATGGTTACAGAGAGTCCTCTAGCTGTTATTCTTCCTTAAATGACAAAGCTGAACGTTTGTAAAGCGCATCAAAAATGGTCATTTTGAAAAAGTGGAGCTACCCGAAGTTTTCTGTTTCTCATGTTGCATCCAGAACAAGCCGTTGGCAGAGGCATTTTGATGTCAA